GGACGGGCGCGGGGCCGCGCGCGACCCGGAAGCGCCGCGGCCGCGGAAGTGACGGCGCGGAACGGGCGGGGCGGCGGCGCCGGCAGCGGGAGCGGCACCGGGAGCGCCGCGGTCACACACGGCGGCGGGCACGGGCTCCGGCCGGCACGGCCACCGAGGCCCTGAAGCACCGGGGTGGTACCGGCGACACCCGCAGCCGCTGCAGCGCTCCCCGGAGCCGCACACGGGAGGCTTTGCTGATGGGGATCGCGCCGATCTTAATTCCGATTTCTTGCTTGCAACACTGTGAGGCTTGTGTTTGTTTGATGGTTTTGAAACAAACCTGCCGGGTAGCACTCGATGTACAAACACAAACGGGAGGAACCTGAAGCAGAGGTAACGGCTGCACAGGGCAGTGACTGACCGTGGGTTATCCCGGAGCTCGGGTAGCCCTGGGCTGACCCTGCACGGCTGCCTGGGCGAGCAGCTGAGCCCGGCCACCCTCAGGGGCCCCACCTCACACCCTCGGCCCCCCAGAGTCGCACATGTTCCCTGCTGCTCCCAGGGTTCCTTTCCCTGTCGGTGCCTGTTCCTGGCCCGGTGGCCGTGTGTCCCTGTCACCTTTCCAGGCTTGCTGGTGCAGGCTCCACAGTCTCCCATGGAAGTAATGAGACTGTTGGTTAATTCCAGAGGAAAGCCTGATCTGGCGGTCTCAGCTGCTGCACACATCGAAAACCAGCCTTTGAGAAGGACAGGGAACAGCACAGCACAAGTGCCACCGAGGGCACCTGAGCAGAGGTCCCTGTGAAGAGCAGGTGACATTGTCTGGCAGCAGTGGGGGAGTAAGGGCAGACACTGGAGCTGCCCCCGCACAGGGCAGGTCCCAGGGAGCCCCTGGCTGCAGCTGGCAGAGCCCAGAGCTCTGGGGTGACGACTCAGCCTCACAAAACAGTACAAAAATTCACACAGCACAGCAGCTTTGTGCGGACGTGGTGGGACTGAGCGGGTCCCTGTGGGGTGGGTTGAGCCCAGAGCTGGCCAGGCACCACCATCCTGTTTGGCTCAGATGCCAGCGGAACTGTCCTTTCCATCTGTGAGACTTTGCACTCGGGCCAAATGCAAACAGATCTGTGAAATATTTGCAATAATACCAATAATAAAATGCCTTTGGAGTAGCAGTCGTAGTAAAGTTGGATGACCCTGAGAACTCGTTTGCCAGACCGGACAATGGTGGGATAATCAAAATGGAAGGCAATTGGAATGTGAATGAACTTGTTAATCGCTAGGAGGGACAGTGAGAGCACAGACTTGTTGACCAGGAGCCATCCCCATTCCCGGTGAGATGGATAAAGGGTTCCAGATCACACAATGGCACCCAGGGCCCCAGTGAAGATGTGGGGATGGCAGCTGGGATAGAGAGGAGCCGGGAGCTCTGCTTGAGGCAGAGCTGGAGGCATCAGCAGACACCCAGGAAGGCCAGACAGGGATGAGGTTTGGACATGGCTCCACTGAAACCATCCGCCACAGATAGAGCGAGTTAAGGATCATTTTAATTGCTACTGTGGCTCTTTATCACACACGTGGTTTCCCTTCCTTGAGAGGTCTCTGTAGTAACAGCTGTGTTACACACTGTCCAAAGTGTGAAAAAAATGGGTCAGAATTAAAGGAACTGGTACTTGCATGAGGGGTGTCCCACGAGAGGACAATTTGGGTGGGGTGGCAATGATCTGCAGATAACCCTTCAGAGAATGAAGTGTTAATTACCCTTGGTGCCTGTGCTTTTTTCTGTTCCCATTTCCGGGGGTCTGTGCAGATTTGCAAAAAAGGTAATTTGAAATTAGCCCCGGCAACGCACGGCCCGAGCTGCTCCGCGGGGCTGCGCTCGGGGCACGGGCGGGCCTGGCACAGCAGCTGCCTCCATCCTGCGCCCGGGCTCCACCGCACGGCCGAAGCTCCGGGGCCGGGCGGCGGCGGGGGACCCGATCGGAACGGAACCGAACGGGGCCGGGCGGCGGCGGGGGAACCGATGGGAACGGAGCCGAACGGGGCCGGGCCGGGCCGGGCCCAGCGCTCCCAGAGGGGCCGCGCGGCCCCGGCCCGGCGTCACCACGGCAACGGGGGCGGGCCCGGGCCGCGAGCCCCGCCCCGTGACCGTTCGAACAGACCAACCA